GGCGTGGTGGGTTAGAGCAGGGGGCTGGGAGCCAGGACTCCTGGGTTCTATCCCAACTCTGGGGGGGGGGTGGGGGCGTGGTGGGTTAGAGCAGGGGGCTGGGAGCCAGGACTCCTGGGTTCTATCCCAACTCTGGGGGGGGGGTGGGGGCGTGGTGGGTTAGAGCAGGGGGGTGGGGAGCCAGGACTCCTGGGTTCTATCCCAACTCTGGGGGGGGGAGTGGGGGACTTTTGAGCATGGAGGACACTGATATGTATTTTTGTCCTGAGCAGGATGATGGTAGAGAAGCACCTGGCTGCCTGTGTCAACATCATGCCTCAGATCACATCCATGTGAGTGCAGGAGCCAAGTCCCCGGGCTCTATGGTCACTGCATTGGGCCTGGAATTGGGATGGGGGAGTGGCCTGGCCTTGCTGACTGGGGCAGGCTTTCTCTGTGTATCCCTCTCACCAGCTCCCCCTGCTGGTTTCTTTCAGATACGAGTGGAAGGGGAAGATCGAAGAGGACAGGGAGGTGCTGTTGGTGAGGGATCATGTGGGGAGGGTCTCTGTGGGATGGGGCATAAATCCCCTGCCTGTGTAGGCAATGGGGAGGCTCTAGAACCCCGGGCTCCGCCCTGCATGTTGGGGGGGGGGGGAGGAGCAGCTAATGGAAACCCCCACCTTTCACCATCTGTCTCTCCCCAGATGATCAAAACCCGGAGTTCCCGGATCCCAGCGCTGACCGATTTTGTCCGGTCAGTCCATTGTCCTTCTGTCTCCTTCTCCACCCTGTGGGAGCCTGCTGGTGGGGATGGGCCTAGGGAATTTCTGGGGTGGGGGGGGTGGAGTCTCGAGAGAAGGCTGAGTGTGTGTGGCAGGAGGGTTGCTGGGGGCGGGGAGAGGACATGAGTCTCTGGGGGGGTGGGGGTGGCAGGGGCAGAGTGGTGAGTCCCTGGGGGGAGTTACTGGGGAATCCTTGCCTGCTCCACCCCCTCTGACTTCCCCCATCTCCCTACAGGTCGGTGCACCCATACGAAGTAGCAGAGGTGATTGCACTTCCCATCCAGCAGGGAAACGCACCATATCTGCAGTGGGTTGGGGAGACTGTGCCAGAGTGAGACCCCATACCCCACAGCAGGGGACCATCTGCCCCTACCCTGCTTCAATCCCCCTGTACGGAGACACCACAGGAACAGGACTCACCCCATGGAATTTTTTTTTTTGCGGGGCGGGGGGAACCTGCAGCCAATAAACTGCCCCCAACGCACCAAGGTTGGCTCCTCATTCACAGCACACACATCCCTGGTGTACGGGGGGAGCAAGATGGCGCCTGCGAGCCAGGACTCCTGGGTTCCTTTCTGGCTCGGGGGGGGGAGGGGCATGGAGGTGTGGGGGTGGAGGCTGGCCTCCTGGGTTTTAGCCCTTCCTGCGCCACAGCAGCCGGTGGTGCCCTCCCTCTAATGACCAGACTGAGTCTGCAGCAAGCTTTTTATTGCAGGTGTCAGTTTGTACAGTCAGAATGGCGATGGTGACCACAGCATCAGCACACAGGGATGGGGGAGAGGGCACAGCTGGCCTGGGGGGAGGGGAACATATGCCGTCTGTACAGCAGGTTACAAGCAGGATGGATGACTGTGCTGGGGGGCACCCCTCTCCTCCCAGGCCTTGGGGAGCTGCCACCTCCCATTCCTGTGCCCCCATTCTGCCTTGGACAGCCCCATTGTGGCAGGGTGCCCCAAGCTCTGTCCTCCCCCCCCATTGCACTTCATTAAATAGAATTTTTACAGAATAATAAAAATGCAACAAGAAAATAAACCCTTTGAATACAATGAAGCATTTGCCCGGTGGGAGTGGGGAATGCCCCCCACCATCCACCCTAGGGCCCTTCTTTGAGCAGGACTAGGCAATTCCTGCCTTATATCCAAGCTGAGGGTGAGAGCCCCCCCTCCCCCAGTACAATCCCCACTGCTGTCAGAGAGGGACAAATCCCTGACACTGCACTCTGTCCTGGGAGTTGCACTTGCTCAGTGTGTATGTGTGCGGGGGGGGGGGGAGAGAAGAAAGGCTGACAACTCTCTGCAGCCCCAATAGAGGGGGTGTATCTCTGGCACTTCCCCTCCCCCTCAGAACATGCCCCCTCCACCCCATTCCACCAGGTATTGGACAGTGCCATCGAGGGTGACCCTGCGGGCCAGGATGCGGACAGCCTCCCCACGAGCCAGGCGCCCCATGGCTCCAAAGTAGCTGCTGCTGGTGGGGGCAGGGCCCGGGCACAGAGCGCTGGAGGAGGAAGGGGAGGCCAGGGTCTCAGGCTGGTGCTTGGTGCTGGGGGCTGGGTAGTTTGCGTGGGGCAGTGGAGTGTGGGTAGGGGGATGCTCAGGGCTCTCGCTCTCTGGTGCAGGTGCTTCGCGGGGGTCCGGGCTGGCAGTGGTGCTCCTGTTATAAAACAAGGTGGATCAGGGGAGCCTGCACCATGAAATGCTCCTCCCCCCCCAGTCCCAGCCCAGGGCCTGCTCCAGAAAGTACCTGCAAAGCCCTAACGTTGGGTGGAGCTTCCCCCATCCTGGCCCGAACCAGTTTTAGAACTCCTTTCCCTCCCAGCCAGAATCAATTCTAGAATGGTCCCTCTCTGCCCTCAGCCTGCTCTAGAACCACTTAACAACCCAGTCTGCCGTAGAGAAAACAGCCCTCGTTCTAGAATGTCCCATTCCTTGCTTTAGAGTAGATACCATCCCTTGGGGGCCTGCCCTAGAAACTGGCCTCTGAGCTGCCTCTAGGAGAGAGGGGCTGCTCTACCGAAAGCATACTTGTCCCACTGCATCACAGGATCCGGAGAAGGTAATGCCCTGGGACCTGCCCCGTCCCTGCCTCCCCTCACCTCAGGGTCCGGGCAGTGTTGGCGGATGGGTGGAAGGAGGCAAACATCCTGATGGGAGCACTGTGGGCAAGAAAGAATGAGAAATGGGGTGAATGGAGGGCTGGGCAAGGCGGCACCCCCACCCTGCCGGTCCCTCCTCACCTCTCCAGGCAGCGGGCGTCAGTGCGGCGGAAGTTGTAGGTGCTGGAGGTGCCGCTGTAGCCACAGTATGTCTGGCTAGCACTGACGGGGGTCTCCACCACCTCCTGCAAGGATGGACAATCAGTGGGGTGCCCTGGGAGGGTCCCCAAAGCACAGGGCGGGGGGGGCTCCTGGGGCAATGCGGGAGGCTGTGGCATACCTGGGTGAGGGCTCTGTCCAGCTGCCACTTCTCCCTGCTGCTCCTCAGCTCCATGGTGTCTGTGGGTTCCGGGGGGACCTTGCGCCTCCGTGGCCTCCGGCGCCCTGCCCCACTGCTGCCCTGCCCTGAAAGGAAGCTGTAAGAGACCCTCCTTATCTGCACAGCACGCAGGGGGCCGCGCCTGCTCCACTGGGAGCCCAAGGGGGCTGGGTCAGTGACCCCTGATAGGAACGGGAGGCAAGGTAGAAAGACCTGCCCAGGCCCTGTGCCCCCTCCTGACAATACTGTATCTGCTGCTGCGGACCTAACCTGGTCCCCACAGAACTTCCCCAGGGGGAATGCAGGGAGGGAGCTCCCAAAGTCCTCTCCCTCAGTCCCCCATCACATCACCTCAGTGGTGTCCCTGCACTCCCACCCACCATGCCCTCTCCCCTGTATCTCCACCCCTATGCTGCCCTTTTCACCCTAACCCCTTGCTGGAGCCCTGGGATGGTGGCTGAATGTGTGGGGCAGGAGGAGTTGGGACAGCTGAGGCTGCTCACCTGCTGTCAGTAAGTGGGGGCTGCCCCTGGGGTTGCTGAGCTGTGGAGCCACCATGGCCCCCAGGGCACTGAGGTGCAGGAGGTGGCACTCGTATGTGGAGCCCAAAGAGACCCTTCCGCTTCTTGATCTCCTTCCCTGAAATAAACCTGGAGAAGAAGAGAGACCAGACTCAGATCTGCAGGGCAAACAGCTCCCAGGCAAAAGCATCAGTAGCGGCAATGCAGGGCTGTCCAAGAGCCTGCATGACTGAGCGGGTGTGAGAGCCCGTGAAGACAGGTGCAGTTTCAGGTGGGTGCGAGGGCGTGGCAGAGTGTGCATCAGCTAGCGTGGTTCCAGGTGGGTGGAAGTGTGCGGAGGGGCATGCAAGAGCTGGTGCAACTGGGAGTGGGTGCGAGGACATGGTGGAGCATGTGAGGGCCATTGTGTGTGTGAGGGGGCAGTGCAATTCAGTGAGGGTGCAAGGGAGTGGCAGCACATGCAAGGGCTGCCGTGGGTCCAGGTGGATGCCAGGGCATGGCAGAGTGTGATTCAGCGTGGGTGCGAGGACGTGGCAGCACGTGTGAGGGCCAATGTAGTTCCAGGTGAGCGAGAGGCAGTGGCGGAGCATGGCAGGCGTGTGGAAGCAGGGGCTACATAGGCAGAGCAGAGTGTTACAAAAGCTCCTCCCACCTGTCTTTGTGGCTGCTCAGGGCACTCAGCAATTGGCTGTACCGATCCCTCTTGGGTGTATCCGAGAGCTGCAAGGACCAAATGAGAATGGATGAGGGATCAGTGAGGGCCATGGTCCAGAGACCCTCCATTGCCTCCTGACTTCTCCACTTCTCCCACAGCATATCCACCCAGCCAGCTCCCAGCCAACCCTTGGAGTCCCTCCCACCCCATTCCACCCTCTCCCTGGGTACCTCTCACCCAGGTCCCCAACCTTCCTCTCTCTCCCTTCTCTCCCACTCCTTGCTCATCTCTCTACCCCAGCCCTGTCCCCGTCCCCTTCCCCCTGCTCCCCATTCCTGCAGCCCCATTCCCCACCACTTCCCCCTGCTCCTTCTAGCCCTGTTTCCTCTCCCCCCACCCCTCATAGTCCACTCTCCCTGCAGCCCCCTTCCCACACCCAGCCCACCTCTCCTAGCAGCAGGTTGTCCCAGTTCTCGCTGGCAAACGGCAGAATCTCCCGCTCAAAGTCAAAGTATTTCTTTTTGCAGCAGATGCTAAGGTGATAGAGAATGAGATGGGCCACGTCCACCCTGTGGGGAGAGGGGGAAGGGTCAGTGCTGGCATGGTGGGGACATGTACTGGAGATGTGGAGGGGGGGAACCAGACTCACCATCTCAGGGGAAGTCTCCGTACGCTCTCAGGGCCCCCAGTGCAGACACAGCACTCGAAGACATAAAATCTGGAAGAGACCCGAGGTGTGTGAGGGGAGAATTAATCCTGGATCTCAGGGACCTCTCCCCGCATGTGCCCGCACCTGTCTGTGTAGGGGAGTGAGAGGATCTTGCCTCCCCACCCCTGAATCTCCCTCTTGTCCCCTCACCTATATCCACAGGTAGTGGGGTGGATCTCACTTCCCTCCCCAGTCCCTCCATGCCCCCTCACCTGTCTCCATAAAGCAGTGGCTTGCTCAGACACTGGGTACATGCCTCATGGAACCACTGGGCACAGCTGCAGCACTGCAACATCTTCAGGTTCCACCTGGGGGAGAGAGGGAGGCTGAGTGAGCACATGACTGAGGGGCAGCCTGCCAGGGGCCCAGCACCCTCCCAACTGGAGAGAGAAAGGAGTTCACCTGGGGCATTTGCTGACCCACTCCAGGCACCACCCAGCTCTAGAAATGCACTCCTCTCCACCCCATGAGCAGCTCCAGAAACCAGGGCTTTGGAGCAGAGCCCAGAGCTGGAGCAGCTCCGGAGCAGCGGAGCTGCAGGTTTTTGCCTGGAGCTGGAGTGGAGCCGGAGAACAGCTCCAAAACCCTGCCAGAAACCTACCTTCTAGTCCAGAAACCCCATCTCATCCAGCCTAGAAAAATCTCTCTCCCTTGGTGCAAGCTGCTGTAGAAACCTCCCCCTCCACCACACAACTCACTGCAGAAACTTCATCCCAGTCTACAGCCACTCAATCTGGAACTTGTACTGGAAAAATCTCATGCTGGAAGCTGTTTGGGGAATTTGTTTTACAAGGACCATCCAGCCTGGCTGGAGAAAAGAGCCTACCCCAACACAAGCTGCTTCAGGGACCTGTGAAAACCTGACCTGACTTTATAAACACTGTGCTACTCCCATGCCAGAAAAATCCAATTCCAGAAAGCACTCCAGACTCTTTTCTAGAAACTGTATCTAACTTCAGAACCCAATCTAGAAACCCACTAGTTCAGAGCTCACTTCAGTACCATCCTCCCAAACCAGAACTGGTCATAGAAAAAAGTTCCTCACATATTTAACCCCCACTCCCCACCATGGACTTTGCTGTGGAGACCTCATTCAACCACAAGACCACTTCTAGAAACCATGCT